CTCCTGAAGTCGCTCGTTTTCAAAACATGGATGTGCCATGCTAAGCTAGTAATGATAACTGGACAAGAGAAATATTACATTATTTTTACCACGAATGTGAATAACGCAAAAACTTGAACATGAAATTTCCCGTTGAAGGCGCCATGCTAAGCTTGTAATGATAACTGGACAAGAGTAATATTCCATTATTTTTTACCAGGAATGTGAATAACGCAAAAACCTTAACTTTAAATTGCCCGCTGGAGGCGCCATGCTAAGCTAGTACTGATAACTGGACAAGAGAAAAATTACATTATTTTTACGATTAATGTGAAAAACGCAAAAACTTGAACAAGAAATTGCCCTCTGGATAGGCTAGTAATGATAACCGCACAGAATAAATATTACATAATTTTTACGACAAATTTGAAAAACGCAGAAACTTGAACAAGAAATTGCCCTATGGATAGGCTAGTAATGATAACCGCACAGGATAAATATTACATTATTTTTACGATAAATTTGAAAAACGCAAAAACTTGAATATGAAATTGCCCTCTGGATAAGCTAGTAATGGTAACTGGAGGAGAAGACGCTTTGCTCACCGTGGAGCGGTCGATGGAGTCGATGGAGGCGGAGGAGGCGTAGAGGGCGAGGGCGGGCGCGCGGCCCGCGGGCTCCAGCGTGGTGGAGGGCGAGTCCTGCGGGGTGGCGGCCGTGTGCGTGATGCGCGGCGGCGGCGGCCCCACCGCCGGCTGCACCACCGCCAGCATCGCGCTCTCTGCAACACGCGCGCGCGCCACCACGACGTGCAGGCACCGCGCCGCCAACAACACTAGGGATAGACTGGAGTATTCACAACGTCTGGCATAAACGTAAGCAAAATAAGAGCTTCTATTGGCTGTGAGACATTCCGGTTTACTGTTGGTTGGATGTGAGAATCGATTTCAAGTTTTTTAAATTTCAAACAAATTTTAACTGTGTCCATGGCCCATATGGCGTTAGGCGTTCTTTCGACTTCGCTCCAATTTTGATTCTCGGTTTTGGTTTACAGTTCTGTGATTGGTCCGTTTCTTATGTCTTACTTAAGCATAACTTTACATAAGCTTACTTAAGCTTACTTTAAGCTTTTATTGGAGAATCGTTTTCTAGGTATCGACTGTGTCCATGGCCAATATGGTGTTAATTGTTTTATCGACTTTGCTCCCATTTTGATTCTGGATTTTGAGTTACCGTTCTGTGATTGGTCCATTTCTTATGTCTTACTTAAGCATAAAGGCCCATTCGTAATCCAAACGTAAACATAAGACTGAAGAATTCACAACGTCTAACATAAACGTAAGCAAAATAAGAGAGTATTGGCTGTGAGACATTCTAGTTGTTCTATCCACTTAGTAGTCCAGTTGTTCTATCCATTTCGCTCCAATTTTGATTTTCAGTTTTGATTTACCGTTATGTGATTGGTTCATTTCTTAAGTCTTCCTTAAGCATAAGCACATACACTTGAAGCTTTGCAAGCTTTTACGTTAACGTTTTACGTGTTATGCTTATGCGGAGTCTGCAGGGTCGGCCGGTGAGAAGGGCGTGGGTGGTTGAGCTGCAAATGCTCTGTACCACGTCGTAACCCGACTGAACAAACCTCCATCGTATACCTGGAGGCGGCTCCACACGTAACGAGCGACCCTTAGCCGAATCCCGAATAGAGGAGAGGACTAACTTGCTATTTGTCGAGCGTCAAATATTCGGCTCTCATAAAGCCGATTCACAATGCAAACATAATCATAAGCATGGCGTTAGAATTACGTCCATAAGCTGACTCATTCACAATGCGTTCGCATAAGCATAACTCGTAAGACGTTAACTTAAAAGCTTGCAAGCTTGAAGTTTCTATGCTTATGCTTAAGTGAGACATAAGAAATGAACCAAATATATACTTCCTTAAGCATAAGCATATATAATCTTACTGATGTTTTCAATTTTTTATCGACCCTACATCTCAGATAGAAATACAGGTCTCTTATTATTTTGTCCAAGGAATTGTGTATCGTTAAGGAATTTAATACGAAGTTGATACTTTCATTAGATTTTCAATATTTCATTTACATTCAAAGTTCATTGACAAAGTGACGCTAGAATGAAACTGAACTGACAGTTTGTATATTAGTATACGATTGCGACAATCTTTCCACATCCAAAACCGTAAAATATGCTAACAGAAATCGTGTATTACGAGCCTGAGGTAAAAAGAAAATGTAAAAGTCTGGTAAAACTGTGGAGAATGATTATGAAAACGAAGCACGCGGTGAAATGAATTCTGGTAAAGCAAGTGAGTTAAATCCCTTTAACCTGCCGAAAGCTCGTTTCATCCACCTCAAATGAAGAGACTTATATTTTAATTCCATTACGGAGAGATGGCGAGCGTTTCCTCTACAGTCTACATCAAGAGTTGCTTCAAAATTTAAATTAATAAGAGCATAGCGTCGTGGTGAGAAATTATATGAAAATGTGCGTAGAAGATTTTCTTTCACTATCTTCTCTAATTTTCAAAGTACGAGAAGAATGCGCAAAATATGTCAATGATAGGAATATTAATCCTTCAATAAGAAGAGGAATTATTTTAAGAAAAGTTTTGATATATTTGACTAGGAAAAAATTTATCACTGGCGAAATAACGTCACAAAAATGGTTCATCTGAAAACTTTTCAAATATGATTAGATACTTTTATATAAAAGAAGGCATCAATTTGAATGATTTGAAAACGTTTCAACTTTGTGTACTGTTTGTTTATGATGGAATGTTCCTTTAACATTCGCAAACACAAACAGTTTGGCGGCGTGGTAACAGACAACATTAGTTTGCTGGTGGGAGGAGGGGCATGCAAAACTTTTTGCAAAGTGACTGATTTAAAAACTAAGAATATCAACGTTAGTAAACGTTAAAGATATAAATTGAAAGATACCATTAGTTTGCAGCTTTTGGGATGGAGTCAAATGGGAAGTAAATTAGCTTATCCAGTGAAGAATGTATTAGTGATTATATATTTGAATATATGCTGGCATATAAAACAGTAATCCAATTGAAATGTCTAAATTGTAAGTAAACAATAGTCAGCCATTACAAGCGTCCAAAATTATGGCTGATAATGTAAATAATTTTAGTCGGCTTTGTCTTCTAACTTTTACGTTTCGGTAAAACAGAACGGTAACATACAGACCGAGTCACCCAACAAATGTATTCTCTCCTCACTCTCTTCTGCTGTCCCACTGGAGCGGCACTCGCTCGCTCTGCGCACTGACCTTTCTGAATGTTGCACTTGGGCTCATCGCAAGCGACGAACCGCCGCCGCCGCTGCCAACAGTTCTCCTTCTCGCGGTGGCCGTTGTCCTTCACCTTGCGCAGCTCCTCAGCACTGCGCCACGTGTTGCGCAGCCCCTGCGCAGCGCATGCGCAGTCAGCCCTCCTCTTCGCCCGCGCGCGGCGCTAGGAACTACCAACCATGCGACGAAAAAAAACAACAAACAACCTCTCTTTGGAATGCATGAAAGTAGCGCAGTTTCATTCTGCCAGCACGAGCATATTAATATGTGGAAAATATTGTAACTGCCACATCCATCGACAGTCATGCATCTTAGGGCTATAATACATTTATTTTGAATAATAAAAATGTAAATGTATATGAGTTTACATGCACAGAATCTAAAATATTCGTGGATATACTTAAAATTCATTTTAGCGACCTCGTGAAGGGAAATAAGTAAAAACTGGCTACAGTATTTAAAGATATTTCTATTTCTATCATAATCTAAATTCATTCTCCGGCATCCTTAAATCTGCAGGAATACTTATTCTGCATTGTACAAACGCTCAACATAACAGTGTATCAATTGTCATCTTAAGCATTTGTGCATGTTTTTCAAGTTTTATTAAAAACTACAAAATCTCTTAGAATGATAAGCAGTGCAAGATGCTGCTGCAAGAAACTTGAATGGATATCGTGGAGAGCGCGAAGCACTCTGACGTTGGCAGCAGAGCATTGAACCGTTTGAAGGAATCGAACATACAATTATTAGAACGAAAACTCATAGCTCCTAATATGATTTGCAATATCAAGCTGCTCCTAAATGATGCGACAAAATACATGTTACAAAATAAATGTTACAAACTTCTAGAGCGTGTAAAGGGTGGGAAGATGATAACATTCCAACGATGAATATGGGTGCGAAATTTTATATAACTAAGTTGCTTATGTGACATTTATCCCTGATTGATAAGCAACTCGTCATGCAATTGAGTTTGGAGGATCGTGCTCTTATGCAGTTAAACGATTTTTTTCAGCTGCCAAACAAATGCACTATGAGTTGTCTACTAATGAGGGCAAATGCCAGATGTGTAACTTCGTTATATGAAATTGCCCACCTCATGTCATTGGCTAAAAGTGTTCATTTTCACCTCCCGTACTTGTCCTAGAAAAGTGAAACATTTATTCTGAGACACCCATAAATCGGAATTCAATATTCGTAAATTACAATATGTCTGTGTTCTTAAACTGCCATCTTCTCGGATATGATTACGCATGAAAACAGGAAAGGAGATTAACGGATATTAACAAACGTCTCCTTTCTCAATAAATATGTACGCTTTCAGTTTTGCTCTAACGCGTGTAATTCGCACCTGTAAGCGATTTTCATTCACAATTGATCGTGGCGGGATCACCGGTGATCAATGGAATTGCAAACTTTGCTCCGCTCAGTACTTTATAATCAGTATCTTGATAATACTCGCAGAATTTTAGAAACAAAATTACTGCTGTAATGAGAAAAAAATCGAATACAGCGAGGTTCAATAAGATGAATTATATTTTTTTCTTTTTGAAGCTGGTATTTTTAATAAAAATATTGTAGGAAAGAAATGCACGAGTATGAAAAGGCTTTCGGTTTGTGACTGCACTGGGACGGAAATAGAAGTATCATTATTTTTGTAGTTTTTTTGTTCTATTTTTTGTCTTCTAATGAATGCTATTTCAATCACGAAGTCTTATATTCCATTTTTTAATTTGTTTAATGCAGTTTACAGATATACTGGTAATTTAAAATATCAATTTAATTGCGCCCGAAATTGAATTGCATTAATCAGCCTTTTGGGGTGAAAACGAGATTCCATATTTGTTGGAAGGAGAACAACGGTTCGATGCTCCGACTCAAATGCGAGGTCAGGTGGTCTCACGTCCTCCACAGACTAAAACTTACGCACCAGCTAATGGCCAGTCTGCCGTTACATCCAACCCTTCCGTTACGACCTATTTGGTCTGAGAGCTTAGCAGAGCTGCCAATGACAGCAAACCAGTCGAGAGAGATGATCTGTGGCTGCTCAAAAACGTAATGTTCTAACAATCCAGCGTCCTTGGTTTCTAAAATATTTTCGGAAAAGTTGGAATACATTTGCCTTGAATGCATTTAACTGATTTTAAACTTCTACAATTATTTGCTATAATTGTGGACGCACAATTCCAGGTAATGTGAATTATGGAACGTACATTAATACTATAAAATATTACTCCAATGTTTTTATAAGAAGAATTCTCCTAAGAAAACTAGTGTTCTTAAAAAAAGTATTACAAATAAAATTTATGTGTTTTGAAGAAAGTCACCACTACCCGTTACATATAAATACCCAATTAAACCCCAATTATCCATTGTTTATACATTGTTGTGAATGTTTAAAAAAACATTTGCCCTCTTTCTAAAATAGATGGAAGCAATATCTTAAGTAAAGTATCAAATACCCTACAAAAGGAGCGAGGTTTAAATATCTTCCTCTCATTTAGTGGAGAAGATATTGATCTGAAAACTTTAAGACTCAATAGGCATTCCTTTCACATTCCTTTCTCGAGCCTTTACACTTCAGTGATCACACAGCGAACAAACTCATTACATAGCTCTAAAACGGGGAGAGGGGTCGAAAGAACTGATCTGGTAAATTTAGAACTCTTATTCTCGCAGAGAACGAGTTACAATTTCGGTGCCAAAAGTAGGACATTGTGCTAAACTGGTCCACTGAAAAAATGTGAATTCACGTGTATAAAAAGCAAACGTTCCGCTCTGTGATGCAGAGGACTTCAACTGAGTGAATTCAAAAACCTGGTTGAAGAGTTCCACGAGCAAAAGAGAAATAGCAGTGGCAGATGTACTAGGAATTGATTTATTCTTTAAATTTGCATTACAAAGTCCCTAATTTCTTTTGAAGTAAATCGAGTATGCGAATAAACATGCACTGTGTGGTGAATTTCAAAGTGCAATTATCATAAAGAAAGAGTGTCTGACAGAGAAATCGATATTTTTGAAACTAAATTCAGTTCCTTTTGTGCATATCACGGCGAAAACCCCTGAATTAAAACACGATATTTTGAAAAATGTTTAAGAATTTATCGACGATGCACAAGAACAATGTCACGAACAGTGTATTGAATTAGTTAAGTGTATTTAGAGGATGGTTCGTTTTTTATTAATTTTTTCTTAAATGTAGCTCAGACATTGGATAAACAAGTAAAAATCTTTGCCTTTGGACATGAATTAAACCAGGGGCCAATCTCCGGAGAGAGAAATAAGACACATCCCTCCGAAAAAAATTCAGTAACTATTAATTTTAACTTCTGGAAACTTTGAAGTAAAAAATATTTTTGAGTAATCAATAAAACGAATATAATGGAATTAGCTGAAATAATCTTATATCAATGAACATTACCTAGTATTACACATTCGACCAAAATATTTTGTTAAAAAAATCTATCCCTAAAAGATCTGGATTCGTCTCTGATTATCCAGCAAGGCTGAAGTCAGGTCTCAAGCAAAATGACAATGTTTTTAAATGATTTGATTAATTTAGTCAAAAACAATAAGTGACGTACGGGGGAAGCATTTAAAAAATGAATTGATTTATTTTGTTTCAAGAATTTATGTGCTATTTTATGATTGATTTGATGTGTCCAATTCCTTGTGCACCACCGACATAGCGATTTTCGCCGAGGGGGACAATTTGAATTGAATTGAATTAATGCCTTATTTTACGTGGCGAGACTCGGGCCATGAGGCCTGCTCTTCCGTCTGACCACGCAAATTTCGCTACGCTCCTTTCACCAACTAGCAGAGAAAGGAGGTCTTGGGCGAGAAATAGGCTAATTGAATTTAGCTCAGAGGCGTCACTTAGGCTTGAGGACCTTTTATGTGCAAGTAAATCTACTAACATGGGACAGCCGGCTTTACTTCCCCTCCTCCTGAAGAATTTTTTCGCCCTTAAAAATCAGCGGATCTAAAAGCCCTTAAGTCAGCGCCCTTAAAAATCGATCGGGTATGAACAGGTATACCAACTTGGGTATACCAGTCCAATACGCTAAAACCGTTACACCACCGCCGCCGCATTTTGAACCGCCGGCGCAATTTGAACACTGGCGGGCTGCGAATGCGAGAGGCGGTGCGGTTGGGTGTGAGGACCGGGGTGGGGTGGGGGGTGGCGCAGGGGGGGTACGCACCGTGATGCAGCGCGCAAGAGCGCTGTCCGACGACGAGGAGGGGCGGAGCGCGAGCCGAGCTGCAGAGCGGCCGCCGCCCGCGCCGCGCCTTGCCTGCGCGCGCGCCAGCTCCCGCTGCTCCCGCTCCGCCCGCTCGTTGCGCTGCACATGCCGTCGCCGCCATCACTGTGCTCAGTGTCGCCGACAGGCTCGCTCGCCGATCAGGTGTCACGATCAGCTCACTCGCCGATCAGCTCGCTCGCCGCATCAGCTCGCTGCCATCAGCTCGCTCGCCGATCAGCTCGCGTCGCCGATCAGCTCGCTCGCCGATCAGGTCGCTCGCCGATCAGGTCGCTCACCGATCAGCTCACTCGCCGATCAGCTCGCTCGCCGATCGGACCGCTCGCGATGAGCTCGCTCACCGATTCAGCTCGCTCACGATCAGCTCGCTCACCGATCAGCTCGCTCACCGATCAGCTCGCTCACCGATCAGTTCGCTCGCCGATCAGCTCGCTCTCCGATCAGCAACGCTCGCCGATCACCTCATCGGGCCCGATCAAGCACGCTCCACAGATCAGCTCGCTCGCCGATCAGATCGCTCACCGATCAGCTCGTTGCTGATGAGCTCGGCTCCGATCACCTCGCACGCCATCAGCTCCGCTCACCGATCAGTCGCGAACCGATCAAACGCGCACCGATTTCAGCTCGCTCGCCGATCAGCTCGCTTGCGAAAGATAATACGGTCGGGAGCGACGCTAGAAAAATGTTGGTGGGGCTGCGCCAGCTTTCTTGATCGGGATGAAGCTGTGAAAATGTCAATTGCGTCAAGACTAATCGACCTGGGGCGCTATTGGGGGATTTATGTCAGTTGCGTCTCTTGAACGCTTAGCGATCTCGAAAATAGCGTCTTGAAAAATATTGGTTAGGATGCTTCTTTTGGGGAAAGTCTGTCTGGAGCGTTGCCAAAAAAATGTTAGCTGGCTACCTTTTAGAAAGAAAATCTTACAATATACATTGGTCATTCAAGTCATGTCAAACATTTTAAGGGGTAATAAAATATATTATTATAAGTACAGTAATTATAAATGTTAATATTTTTAAATCTAAATTTATATCTAAAAGGAGAAAGTAAAATAATTTATTTAAAGCAGTAATTTGGGCAAATACAGCATTGATTTGAATAGTCATGCTTCCTCATTGATTTATGTAATTGTTTCAATTGTAATTAAGTCAGTGATAGTTTTTAGTTGTCCGCGTCCTTCAGTTATCCATCATTGCGTGTCAGTCAAGTTGTTGGCTTCAGGGCTGGCGTGTCCTCCTAAAAGAAATGTAGAGATTGTTCAGTGCTTCAAAGGCGCAGAAATAAAGGAACTCTGCGGTACTCTAGATATGTACAACTCCGCTACACAGAAGAAAGACAGAAAAAAGAGTTAATAGAGCTGTTGTGGAACATCACCACATTATAGAAGGACGAAAAGAGAGATAATGCAGAAGAAAGTAAGCAGTCTTAATAAATGTCGTGGGCTAAAAGAAAATCTGGGCAACTGATCAAGATGGATTAACACCATAAGATCTTACTGCAAGGAGGTGTTAATTCAAAGGTTAATATTTTCTAGTGCCAATCCGCCCACGCGTGAGAATGGTCTCACTGAAGTAAAAGATTAACATCTTCTGTCATTAATCTCCAATGGAGTCATCCTTTTTTACCAGTTGCGTCACAAGTGAAGCAGGCCGACGTTCGCGCGGCCATTACCTCCGCGGAGAAGCCTTCCACCAAGATGGCGACCAGCAAGTTGAAGAGCACGTAGTTGCCGAAGGTCATCAGCGCCACGAAGTACAGCGCCGCCCAGTGCGAGGTCTTCTCCATGCCGTTGAACAGCACCACGTTCCAGTCCTCCTGAGTGAGGATCTGCGCAGGCCGCGTGCTCAGTGAGGACGCTCTGCGCGCCGCCCCGCCCCGTTCCGCCACGCCACGCCACGCCCACGTCCAGGCCCCCTTCCCGCCTCCACCCACGCCACTTGCTTCTCAGGTCGGTGCGTCCAAACGGTCTCCATTCATATTCTCTGTCAGCTTGCCTTTAATGTTCTCGTTTCTTACATAAAAAGCATTCGTAGTGCTAGTTAAAACATAAATACGATGCTTTACGGTCACATGTGAACTGAAATGACAATTTTCTTACACTATACATAATACGCACTTTCCTGTATCTCCCTATTATGCTTATCCTTTCACCTTTGTCATCTAAGTCATCTAGTTTCATGCCATTCCCACATTCTCCGTTCCTCAAAAACCTGATATTTCTGTAATGTGTTCTGCGTCTTCCTCTTTCACTCCATTACAAGACACGTGTTTTTCTACAGAAGTTAAAGGTTGAGTAGTTATTTTGATAGTTATAACACCTTTCTTCCAAAAATTGGAAAATCACTGTAAATATGTGAACAATATACGATATCTTATGTGAGTGTGATCAAATCACAAGATATTAATAAACTGACAATTCTACTTAGAATTGCAGTAATATCATTATTGCCACCAAAATATGAAGAGTGTTTGTCAAACCCGTTGTGGGTTTATTACTTAAATTAAGATTACATAATGGAAACATAATTCAGATAAAAGTATACCAACCTAGTTAAATTACTTGCTTTACTTATAATATATTTTACTTCTATATTTATAAAAACCTTGTTCATTTTTACGAATTGTTAACTATCCCCTATTAACAAAACTTGTTGAATGTTTCTTAGATGATTCTTCATTTTGTGATATCCCGTTCATATTCTCGCTTAAGTAATATAGAGCAAATATTTGCTTTATGTTTCCGACTTCTACATTCAGACCAGCAATTTTAGTCAATTTTGGAAATTAACCTAGTACAAGTTGGTTATTCTTTTCGAATGGAATGGTTTCACAATCATCGAAAATCTTCAGTTTTGCTGCAGACTTTTTGATGCAAAATAGTGTTGGATAAAGGCAATTTTTCAACATTCTACTTCTATTGTCAACGATCATGAACAAGGTACAATCATCATACAATCGTCATGGATTTTGTTGTTGTATTATCCCTTATTGCCCCGTAAAGGGCAATTGGCCTCGGCGCCGTTGGAACCCGCGGTTCCTAGTTGGTCACCCATCCAGGAATCCGTGATGTCTCGAATTCGCTTAACCTACCCCTCTTCATCGTGGGTTAACGAATTCGGCTCTCATCACCGGTTTCGCGCACGAGATCTTTTAGTACAACTATCCCAGCATTCGCCTGGGTGACCGAGGGAAACCACGAAAATCCCCGGTCAGGACGGGGATTGAATGCGGGCCTCCCGAGTGAGAAGTGAACGCTCTACGCCCTGAGCCACTTTGCTAGGTTCTTCATGAATATAGTAACATAAAATACTATATTAATTTTCATTGTATTTTTTGTCATTTTAGAGATTTGTGCTCTGTAGAGTAAGGTGTAAAAAACAACGTTGTTTTCCTCAAAGTCTTCATAATTTCCCAAATGTGAAAATATCTAATTAAATCATCATAGTTTGATACTTCGTAAAGTTAGCCATGAAAAAGTGCAAGAATTTCAATCAATTTGAGGGGTAGTGGCATGTAATCAAACATAATGTGTTTGTAAATTTAGAAAATCTTGAATCAGATTTGAATATTATTTTTTATAAAAATTCACTTTTAATTTTGTTTTTCTTTTTGTTTTATTTATTAATTATAAAGTTATTGTTTTTTCTGACCCCATTTTGATATCATTAAAAAAAACTGGCATTGAACCACAAAAGAAGCGTATGAAACATTTATGCGACACGATATTTATTCAATGTTCTTCCAAACTAATGTTAAAGGTTATTAAGATTGTCAGAATATACGTGTTTGATTCTCTCTCAAATCCAGAGGGTACTAGATATATACACATATATTGTCTTCGCTTTCATTAAATCAATAGATGAAATAAATTTAAGTTTTTTCTTTTCTCCTCCCCTGTCATCCCCTCATGTAACTGGTACAGACCCTAACCTCATCAATTTTCATGACGATTTTTATGTGTTGACCATGTAAAAACAAGCATTGTCTGCGATGTTGAATGAGCGAGTTGTCATGAAAACGTTTTTGCGGTTTGAGGTATGGGTCTGCAGGAGGGAGTTTGCTACCGCAACAAGGCGACCGCAATAGTCCTGCCATGCTACGGCGCGAAATATTGCAAAAATCGTTAGTTTCTGTGTTACTACATGGACTCCTGTACGTTTTGTCGTTTGTACCATCTTACGATCAAATATTTTAATTAAATTTTGTACACTATAGATAATGAAAAAACGTCGTCATTGGATATATTTTTTCGCGCTGAAAAAGTAAATAAAGTCACTGGCCATATTTCCCTTCGAAAAACCTCATGATTACATTTTGTGGGAAATGAACATGATCTATGATATTTTGAGGCCAACGTTTTGAGAAGCTCGTGTTATATGTAATTATTTAAATTAACTCAGTTCTTGTGTTCTATTCTAAAACGGTCTTGATCAGGTTTTTCTTGTTTTGGTCAATATAAATTCAATATTTAGGGAAGCAGATGCTGATTCCATCTGCTTCTCAAGCCTTCTTTTTACAGCCATCCTGATTCGATGGTTGTAAAAAAAGGCTTGAGAAAAATATATATCGCGACGAAAAGTCAGAGGTTTCGTACAAAACATACGATAAGAAAACCTACACAGTATATAGTGATCAATGACTTAAAAACTACATTTTTTGTCATATTTGCTCTTTGAGAACATGTAAGAAAATATATTCATGTCACTCACATATGAACAATTATAATATAACACCCAAATTACACTTTCTATAATGATTTCGATTTTTCCATACTTGATTAAAAATCAAGGTTTATGAAAATATACTTTCTTATCGCTAGTGTCTTTAAATTTTCAGGATTTCACCGGCTTACAGTGACTTGCGAAGTAAGTACAATAATTTTAAAATGTCTTTCGATATTCATTTTGGCATGCATTATGAGTATTGACATACTAGTTTAGCGTGGCGCCTTTGGCAAGTATTTTTATGTTGAAAAGTTTTCTTCGTGATTTGAAAGAGTTTGATAAAAATAAAATACATTCCAGTTTCCCGATCGTCCATTTGAATGTCCACTATGAATGGTGGAGAACTCGATCTAAACAAGGTACAATTCTGGTATAGGGAATGGACCTGAATTATTCCCGTAATGATCCACTAAAAAGTGTCGATTTTGTTTGGTACTTGCTTAATTTTCTTGTCAATGCCTTGAATCCATAAGAGAGGCGTGTTTTTCTATAATTCTTCAAGAATGTCCAAGAGGAACTTGGCTAAGAATTGTACCAATTGATTTGTCATGACGTGAGGAATCGAGTAAGCTATTGAGATATTAATCACCCAAGTCACCCATCACCCAATCTACTTCAGCTGTAAGCTATTCAAAACACGTTTTAGTTGTTTAAAAACAAAAGAAAATTCGTTTATAGAGACATTTCGTAGAATCTACTGGATGGATCCAGAAAATATGGTGAGTTTCTTACCTGGAGACCGAAACACGTCTAATGACAGACACTCGTTTGCACATGTAAGCTCCCGCGGCACGATTCCATAAATTCTTGTCTATCCGGGAGACGGCGCGTCGTTGGCTGAGAGCCGACGTTTCGCCTGACATGTCGCAGGCTTCGTCAGGGCAGTGAGAAAGCTTGCGATATGTCAGGCGAAACGTCGGACTCTCAGCCAACGACTTGGCGTCTCCCGGATAGACAAGAATTTAAAGACACGTCGTTTGTCACGCCTGAAGCACTGGAAGGAGCCTAACCATGAGTGACGGACATACGAAGGGACGACCGGACTGACTCGGTTTACTCGACTACTATCAAGGATATAAAAAAAGTGTAATTGAATGATGTAGAAGAATACTAGCCAAAGAATTCGGGATACTAAAAAAATAGAATTTTGTAATATTACTGTACCAAATTTAAAGTGTACAAGTTTAATTTAGTGTACATTAATTTGTGTAATTAGAGTTTAATTAAAGTATACAAGTTAAATTAAAGTTACAATAAAAACGGTGAAATTCAACTGCAACAATTCAATTTTAGGGTGTGGTAATTCTGAAAGTAAATGTGTGTTGAATAGCTAACTTTAATCATTATTGCGAAAGAAATATTTATGGAGACCTAGTTAGTGGAGATATTATGAATTAACGTTTTAGAGCGGGCTGGCGTAGCATTGTCCACTTGCACTGATCTCAGATAACGAAGGGTAGAGAGCAGAGAGGAACGGTGGGGATGAACGTCTTTCTAGCAGTGAAGAACACTAATTACGATTCGAAACACAACGAGAAGCAAGACCATGGCAGACAAATAAGTGACTTAATATTAATATAAATAAATCACTTCATATTGCCTATCAATGATGTTCGTTTTCGGAAGCTGACACTGAGAAATGAGAAACCGAAGAAAAAGCTACACACATTTCAATCGGATACTATTATGTATCATTATTATTGGTAGAGTTGATTGTACATAGTGCTTTGACCGTCTAGGAATAAACTTGAGATGATATTAAATAACTACGATAGAAACGATAGATTAGTTTGTATCGTTTTGGTTCTTCATGCAAAGTGGATACAAAATGATTGATCGATTTATGTTTAGCCCTACTTGTGTGACATCTTCTGTCGCGTCACAATTTGCCTTCGGCGCGAATCACACTGATAGCGTTGCGACATGTGGACTTTCTCAAATGGTACGAAACAATTTCAACAAAACCTGAATACTTGGACAGTGTGTATATCATTTGCGCCAACTGTCATTGTCATCAGTCTCGTAAATGTAATGCATGTTATACACCGAGAGTTGGTGGTGTCCCTCTCCTGGGAGTATGGGGTCAACCGACAGGACGGCTTGCGGGGGGTTACCACCTCTAGGTATTTCCGCCAGCGAGACACCATTAAAGGCCAGCAGAAGCTCCAAGTGAGGGCCCGTATACACAAATCCAAGTTAATTTCTTCATTTCATTAACATCTAATAATTTCACCCACGCTCACTCATGGCCTTCAGACATCACGTGGCACCTCTAATCTCACGACGAGTACCGCAATTGTTCTCGCCATACAATGAGCGCTTATCAACTGTCCTGACACCTTGTTACAACGGTTGTTGTTTTTAACCGTAAATTCCTTCGAGAAATTTCCAATTTATGTTAGAATAAACTTCTTGTTCCAGGCGCAACCGTCTCGTACGTGCGCAAAACCAAATCCGTCTTTTTTCGTTTGTACCAGCCCGCAGACACGCAAATCAATCTGAGAGAATATCTCGTGTGATGTTGAGTTTCATCTGCCTCAACCACAGCCAGTTTTTCGTACATTAAACGGACAAAACCTTGTTTCAAACCCGTCTTACCGCAGTTTATCGTGCAACGGATGCACTCCATGAAAGCCATAATTCGCACGTGTGATTTAACCACTGCGTTAATTGTTTTTAAGGCAATAAAATAACTAGTTTTTGAAACAGTCTTCGCACGCAAACAGTCGCAAGTTTTGTATGAGCGCAAGTTCACGAATTATGTAAATCTCTGCATCATAACTGCGTCAATGAGTCTTTTTGTTTCTCCCCGAGCAATCCCGCATGAGTTCATGATGTCAAACTTCAATCGGAGGCCAACAGTCATAACTCTACGCGAGTGAACGCAATTTCATAACACTACTAACAAATTCAGCAACTGTTATAACTGCTAACAATTGTGCGGGTGAAAGCAATTTCAAATTGCACGGTCTAGTAAATGTCACGTGAGAGACTGTCAACAGACAGACGTGACGGATTCAATGGCGTCCATCATCGTGCATGGGCTGCTACTGGCGCCAGCACGCGACTTAGGCTACTCTCAAAATGAGACGCAGTGTGAGACACGGTGAGTTTCTGATATCCACTCCCCATGGACCCGCGCTCATGCGTTCGTGCGCGAGTCCAAGAAGCAGTAGTTATCAGAAACTCACCATGAGTCACCCTGCGTCACGTCATGGACCTGCGACTCGTTTTGCGACTAGCATTACACCTCAGTTCTGCTGGCAACGTCGAGTCAACCGGCCGAGTTTCTCAAACCCCCTGCATTGGTTTGATCTGCTTCCAGGGAATCAACAACGTGGCAAACGCCAACGTGGCAAAGAGGAGTAATCTTACGCCAGTCAACTGTCAGGTATTAGCGACGGTAAGGTCGTTTTAAATAAAAGAAACACTCACTGCCAGTTTCAATTCATTAAATTCACAGAGTTTAATATCAGAGAAACGGAGCTCACATGTAGATCTCAATTGCGACCATTTGCTACGTATATAAGGTTTATTGTTCATGTTGTTGCTCAAATAATTTGTTGTTGAACGCAGATGAATTTTGATCTACCCGTTTATTTACAAATAGGAATCCCTAGCGCACTTACTACGTTGCGATTCCCCGTAAATGTTTACAGGTCATAAACCCATTTTAAACCAGAGATCAATCCAGAGTGTAATTAAACACCTCTCATTCAAGACCTAGGTCTCACAACGACTGGCAAAAAAAGTATGTAAGGGGAAAGAGGGGTAAGAGAATGGCGAAAGAGAGATTGCTCGTAGTCCATGGCCCACTTATTAAGGTATTACTCCAGTATTCGCCTGATACTGATCGGTGCAACCAACGAAAACTCGGAGCACGTAATACGCCTATAGACGCCCACTCAATCTGAGTTATTTAGGGACTAAAATCTACCAACATCTGGACTCGAACCTTCGACCATCCGGTCAGAAACGACACAGTGGCAAGTTTGTCTCTTGGGACATCTCAGCCAAAAAGCATATTATGACGCGAATTGGTGAGATCGCCTGTGCATGTCGAAGACGTTGGAGTGGCTAAGACCGTGAATGAAAGGAAAAAGGTGAAAAATGAGGCCACAGGGCGAAATAGATGGCGTGTGGCACGGATCGCTGTCACTCATTAAGCTTCCGTTTTTCCCGCCGTGGAGCGTCATTGTTACGAGCCGAAAAAACGCTAACAGCGTGATGTCGTTGACATTGCAACGAAACGATTTCAGAGGTTTAGAGGGCAAAGTCTTCTTCCATTTGCATGTTACCGATTCTAGGTCTGTCAACACTGTGGTAGAGGCGGAAAAATAGTATAAATAGATCAAATAGCCGACACTACACGTTTCAGAACTTCTTCTCTACTTCCTCGGCGAAGCATTACGAGCACTTGATTCATAATATTTTTCCTTTACGGTTGTTCTTCGATGTTATGCCCTCTGATGGTGTGTATGTTTTATTAGAGTACACGATCATGCTGAAATCTTACACGTGTCACAAGAAATGTCCAATACAGACGCTGATACTTCTATAAATTTCGATTTCGTAACGGAAACCGAAACCTAGTTCTTGATGTATGTCTCACCTTTATCAAATCCCCGAATTTGGTCGTTGTGTACGTACAAAATACATTATTGTATAATACATTGGTGGTTCTATAACATAAAATGAAATAACATATTACTTTAAATGTTACCGAAACCTAAATTCACAAATGCCATAGAAACTGAACCAAAATATTCTGTCTTGCAAAATAGCATAATATTTCGCAGAAATCGCAACTCGCGATACATTTTATGCTGCCAACATACATTAACTCAAACACGATGTGATATTGGTCCTTAAAACGGCTTTCTGGAATTGTGTCTCTTTCATATAGAAAGTGTTCACACGGTTACACGATGTCATACACATGATTTACAAAGTGTGATATGTTCGTATGAGTCGAACTAGTTTCAATTAATTTTTAATTATGTTTATTTCTGATGCCTTTAGTTTCTGAATTTCAAAATGAAAATGATTCTAATATATTTTCGTTCTCTTAGTCCAAGATATAAAGTTACTCGATCAACAGTACATACATAAACAAAATTGTATTCATTATATATTATGGAATACGATTCATGTTAGAAGAACGTTAATATTTTTTAAACGGTGTAAATGAAATTTTTTGTAAATTTCTCATTTTAATGTTGAACGACATATCATTTTAATATATGTGTAAAGTTAATATTTTATAAACAGTGTAAATGAAATTTTTTGTTAATTTCTCGTTTTAATGTTGAACGACATACCATTTTAGTATATGTGTAACAACATGTAGTGATTTTATCGTATATTATAAATACCTTTATTTATCGTTCATATTGCATTTGATTAACATTGCAGATAAATATTTCAGATAAAAATGTTTAAACTGCCAACTTTATTTTATTTGCTAGTTGTAATTTTATTGTAAATCTATTGTCGAATTTTCTTCAATGTAATGATTACAGATATCAATGAGTACTTATTAAAACAACTTTAAATGTGAAAGTTTATAGGAAAACATAAATAATGAATTATAATCTCTTTAGTGAGAAAAACTATATATTTAACTAAATTCTTTCCTAGCATGGATCAGACGCTTGGGTTTTCAATTTTGGCGTTGTCTTTTAGAGAATAGTAGTTCCTCACTACTTATTTGCACTTCACCTGGTCTCGCGGGCACACTTGAGTATAAAGTTCTTGTTGGTGCAAGAAATTGTGTAGACGAGAGTTGTTGAACTAACCACGAAACAAATGAAAGTGCACTTGTGAGTGCTGACGCCTCTGCCACACGTTTCATTCTCTCTGC